GAAAACCACTTAATGAAAAATCAATCTTGATAATTGTGAAATAAAGTTATGCTAGTATTTATTTTACACCTGAGAAGTGTTGGATAGTTTTATTCTTGAAACAAAAGCACGTGTACTCAACAATCACTGATTGTGAGGCAGTGGCAATGCCATCTTTCCATTAACAATTCCCTTTGTAGCAGCTATTTTCTCTTTTAGGATTAAAAATGATAACATATTGCTATTTAGAAAAGTATGTTAAGAGACGAGAGAACATGTTCACAACAAGTGTCAAGCTGAATCTGTTTCAGTGCTATAGTCCTATCTGCTACTTCCTATCCATTAATATCCTGGAAGTGGAAATCCAGATAATAAAATGTTGTGGCACCTTAAAGACTGTTATAATTCATATATCCACATATGTCCGAAGAAGTGGATGTATCCAAGAAAGCTCATACTGAAATATAACAGTGAAGTCTTCAAGATGCAACAACATTTTTCCCCTTTTTGTTTTTATTTCGATAGACAAATACACTGAATGGTTTGAAAACCAGAAATAAATATCACTGAATTGTGTAGCTCTACTTACTTCCAAGTGAAGATTCACAGGATCCTGTTTCATGTAGCAAAGCTGAGTGATACCCAGATTTTTTTGTGAACAGAATTAAGTTTTGTTCCTTTGATCTAAAATTGAAGAAACATAAACCGCGGACAGAATAGTGAAGGCTGTTAGTGTCTTAGCTCTCTTTAAACACACACACACACACATATCTCTTTTTCTAGTTCTGAGGTGAGTTCTCAAATTTTGATTCTGCAAGGTTTTGTTTTTTTCTTTAATAGTAGAGAAAACAAGTTTGTCCTCTGATGTTAACCAAGTTTTGGCTATGATGCATTCTTTCAGGCTAACTCCAGTGACATAACCAGCACATCTTCCTCTTTTCGGACTGCAGAACAATGAAATTAACACACAGCAACAGACTAAACATATCTATGTATGACTGCATAGTCACTATCTCCTCCAGAAAATGGAAAACAAAGCTTGACATTATGGCTGTGCCCTGGATTTGGACAAATACATATTTTCAATGGAATTGGACTGATCTAGAGCAATTTGCATGATGTCCAGACCTACTGTGATTGGCTATATCCATTACTGGGGCAAAGCAAAGCAACTGACAGATGATTTGCATCTGGAGCACAAACTAAATTACATGTGTCACAAATTGCTTTAGCCTTTTTCATTTTTCTTTCTTTTTCTTTTTCTCCCTATTAAGTAAGCAAACTTTAAAGGTGGCTAGTAGGCAAACCATAGTAGGCCAATTTACCCCTCTCTACCGTGTCTCCAAATTTCACATAAATTAGTGTAAGAAGGGGGGAAAAGATGAAAAAGGTAACACAATTAGAGCTGAGGCACCCATCAAATCTTGAATTAGGATACATTCCAAAGCCCAAAAAAATGACCTCCAAATGAAAATTTATTTATTTATTTATTTATTTATTTATTTATTTATTTATTTATTTATTTATTTATTTATTTATTTATTTATTTATTTAATACCCTACCCATCTGGTCTTGTGACCACTCTAGGCGGCTTCCAGATACATAAATAAAAACATACAAATATACACAAAAATTGTAACATCCACTAATAAATTAATAGTTTATTCAAGATGGCAAAAAAAAAGAAGGAAAGAAGAATTAACTGGAGGGAAAATGAGGGATCAGCCATATTTGGCATCTTATCTGAAACATGAGGGGTGAGGTAGGATCAGCTTGCCACTTTTACAGCTACTATCCCTTGCAATGCCATGATGTTAGGCCAGTCTTCTGTTCCTCCAGCATATATCGTCTGAAAATAAACACCAAACCATACTTGTAACTGGGGATGCAAATTCACTAATTTCCATCAGGTGGCCTGCTGAATTGGCAAAGTGTAAATACTGTATGGTGTTTGCACAAGAATGTGAAGAGAAGCTCAGGATTCTTTATACCAGTGAGTTCTACATGTGTCTACCGGAAAGTTTGTCATACAACAATGGGCTATCTATGTGGAACCAAGCACACATCACCTCAGGAAAATATGGAACATAACCTATTCAACACCCAACAGATTTGTTCCAATCCATTCATCACAGAAATGGATGGACAGTAGACAACAGCAATAACTGGGCACAAGATTTAGTACTGAAAAAGAAAGGTGGACAATGAGACATGAGTGTTTTGTGATACGTATCTGAAATATAAATTGCCTTGACAATGGCAGTAAGACTGAATGGTTCTCTGTGACAACTAACAACAGCTACAATCCAGCAAGGTCAGCTGCTGGAAATTACTATTTGTTTGACATATTTTAAAAGGACTTTTTCATGTCTTCCACAAACATCCCAATGAATGTCTATTTGGACGAATTTGAAACTGCATCGAAAAGGACAAGCTCAGTTACTTATAGGCTACACTCCAGTTGGGGGACACCTTTCCGATGGAGCCCTATCTGACTCCATTTCAACAAGTTAAAACTTGGCTTTTCATCTGAGCTTTGTGTGTTTAGTGACTAGAACTTGGTCTTGGATTACTGAATTACAGATTATTTTGAGTTTATTTGTTTGGACCTCTTAAGGTTGTTTTAAAATGTTTTCAAATGGTCTTGAATTGACTGTACCCACACAGAAATGGGAATAGTTTAATCCATTCATTCTTTAATTATTCCATTCATTGTCTCCACTAGATGTGGTGCAGTCCTTCAATGCAAGCGTTTCTCTTCTTGATCTACATAGACCAAATTGACAAAATGTGGTAGTCACTGGGATCTCAGGCATGTAGTATTTTCTTGACTGTACTAATCTGTGGAAGCACCATGGATTGAAGATGATCTCCTAATGCCGAGTTTATGGTTTGCTGATGAGCCCCAGTTCTTCCCCTTCTTCTCATCTTGACTGATGTACGGAACTGCTGAAATATAGTATTCTAAGCATACTTCTCTGTTTCTTTCCCCTTTCCTTGTACCTCACAGTTTCCCCTCAGTTCCACTAGCATATACTTTCCAGCGTGTGCAATCAGGCAGATTTTATTCATCAGTCTGGGATATTCTTCCATTTTACTGAACCTTTGATTTCACTTATCCTCACCCCTTTGAAAAACCCAGCACATGTAATACTACTTTAACACACAGCAAGTATTTTTTTAAAAAGTACATGGAAAAGAGTGTTTGAGTTGATTAAAAAATGCCATGCTAAATATTCTATGTAACAGGCTCGGTTCTAATTACCAAAAGCCAACCTAAATAAAGGTTTCAGAAATATGCTTCACGTTTCTTGGGCAAGCATCCAGGCTTAGACAGTTTCCTGGCTGTAGGCTGGTTATCATGTATGCCTCTCTGCATGTTGGTGTCCAAACTAGGCTCAAAGGCGGCACCCTTAAGAGAATAAGGGTGCTGTTTGGAGATCAGCTAGGTGATGATCTCTTCACAGTTTGGGTTTGATGAGTTTCTCTTGCCTCTTTCCCCCCAAAATTAAACTATTGATTTAATCATTAGGATAAGCACTTTATGACTCACAATTATTAAAGTCCTAACATCCATGGCATCACTGGGTATATCAGGTATTTGTGGAACAAGAATGGAATACACCTTCTTGATCTCAGGTGGGACAAGATGGAGACTTCACAGAACTCAACTAACCAGAGAATTAGAAGGACTTCTTCTCCAACTTTACTCTGTTTTTTTCTTTCACACTATGGGATGTAGGGCATCATGTATTCATAGGGGACACACTTAGCTATATTTTGCCACAAGGAAATCAAGAAAAATACAATGGAATATTTAGATATCTTTTTATTAGTCTCATCATCAGTGGGGAGGGAAGGGTGGGTGTGGGATCTTATTTAGTGAGTTGGCGATTTCCAACTGCTCTCATCTTCTAGTGATGTTCAAGTGAATATGTTAATCCATCATTATTATTACAAGGTGTATGTCAGGCTGGTAATTTTGATGTTGTTGTTCAGAAACCAAAACACCCCAGGGAACAAAAATTCAGCTCTGTAATTATGCACTGCAGTAGTTTGAAGTGGTTCCAGCACCAATAAAATACTCTTACTTCTGTAACTGCTACAAGTATTAGTACTAGTAATAATAATACCAGCAACAATCGGAGATAAACTAGATACTTTTAAAGAAAAGCAACAACTCTAACCTTCTGATAGAGAAATGTGTTGAAGCTGTCCATCAGTTTCACCCACACGCACAAATCCAGAGCGATGAGGCAGTGTGCTCTCTGCCTTCATGCATAATACATACAAAATAGGTGAAGTAGTATGTAAAGTGAATTTTAATTGGTTATAATTGTCATTTCATTTAGTAAAGTATTATCTGGAGACCAGGATATCAATTAGCACTCTATGGACTCTGTTACTTGTGAAAATATGCATATACAGAGAAGATGTACTCTCACTGTAGATATACTTTAATTAAGAAAACGGTACAGCAAATTAAAGACCTTTAAAGTATTAATTAATTGCTCTATAGATTCGTTTAGAGTATCAACTCAGGGAAGTTACAGTCATCAGGTCTGATATGAATGAGATAAGAGAAGTTCTGTCCAGGGTGGATTATGAAATTGGTTTTATTTTTTTCCTCTTTAAATAAATGCTGTTTTTTTGCAGAACAAAATAAACATAAAATACCTTCTCTCTTTCGCCAGTCCAAGAGTCACTTTGGGTTGCAAGGATCATTTGAATTGGAAACCAAGTTACTTTGGCTTTGTGTTCCTACTCTTCTCCCTCAGGTGCCCGGATAGCACTGCAGATGTGTTTCTCTGCCTACGTCCTTCATAGTCCTGGCACTTAATAAACATCCCAGTATCAATGAAAGTAAAAGAAAAATGATTGACATCAGCTGCTATATTATTAAACTGTTGGTTACCAAGGCAGTTTCCTCTCTCTTTTTTTTCCGTGGGGATGAAGCAGGACCTCTCCCTTTTTAACCACTTGCTCTGAATGACTTCTACACCCAATATATAAGGGAGAGGAGAGGATGAATGTCACCTCTCTTCTCTTCCTGCTCCCTCCAACACATACTCCTGCCTTTGATTGACAGCTACTAATAACCTTCCTGCCCTAAGTGCCATGGAGACACTTTATTAGGACAAACAGCCAAGGAAATCTAGGAATGAAGCCAAGTCTGCAGTGAGTTATTATCGGGCTTGTATTTATCTCAGCTTTGTAATTTTTCCCAGTGATATGCAAATCCTGAAATAGATCTTCTTCTGTTGAAGGACAGGTCCCTCTGTTAATTGATCCACTGAGATTCAGCCTAACCTCTTTTAGCTATCAGCCAGGGAAACATGCTACATAAAAGAGTCTCAGCACTGTATACAGTTCACATAAATTCGCCCTGCATATAGCAAGGAGAGCCTTTGCACAGACAATTGCAGTTTGTGGTTTATATATATATATATAGCTATAGTTTCCACATCTGTATGATCGGCATAAGGAATCAAAATGATTTATCTGTTTGCTTATTAGGTGCTTTGACATTTATGCTGTTTAATATAAACAAATATGATCTCACAAGAAGCTTACAGGGGTCCCGGAAAAGCTGGAGCCAAGCACCTCTTACAATGACATTCAGACTTAACAAAAGTGTATTTGATCTGGGTTTTAAAGAAAATTATCTATATTTAGAAATGATATCTATGTTGGAATTTGTACCTCAATGTTCATTTCCAATAACATATGCTTTGAGAGTCTGCAAAGGTTTTCAGTCTTGGCTTTCTCATGTAGATTAGCTTCACAAGGGAATATAATTTCAAACCAATACTTTAATGGCATTAGTAGGAACATGGGCAGAAATGATTTGTCTATATTGGCATGGAGATCTATTTAGTTAAAAGGTTTGAAGGAAGCATTTAGAAAGAAGAGCAGTTCTGCTAACAAAGAGAAATATTCAAGCAAATACAATTAGCAGGGAATAGCCGAAAGCTAAGGGAGGATTGTGTAAAGTAATGACAATATTAATGTTTTTAGAATTTATATAGAACCTTAACCTTTTTTGTCCAAAGGAACCAAAAAATCTCTTCATTAAAAGAGATTTACCTGATCCATAAATCTCTGTGCGGTTGGAGTACTTGGATTTGAGCCCAATTAGCTTTTCAAAATCCATGGGACTTAACGGTCATTTTAAATTCAAGTAATCTGGCTTATCTGGTTTGGGGACAGATGTGAACAACTAAGCAGCTGGGTGGACGAGAGCAGCAGGCAGTTGTGGCAGGGGGTTGTTTTTCTATTTGCCCATGGGCTGTAATCTCAAATTCATGAAATGGAGCACCCCCGCTCATAATTTTTGAAATGTTCTTAACCCTTGGGGGGGGGGCTGACATGCAAAAAAGTGTGGTCAAGATTCCAAGGATAGGCACACTCCCACCACCACTACTCCTTTCCTGCAAAATCCCACCCGGAAGCAAATTTTGCAAGTAAGGGGGTGGTTGTCATAGTGTTCCAGCTTTTAAATGATGTACAAAATAATAATAAAAAAAGGTTTGGTATCATGTTTAATATTTATGCATATGGAACTCCAGTTCAGAAGCTACTGTGCTGATCTGAGAAGGGGCTGGTTGGGTACCTGGTCGTACACAACCAAGACCGCATCATATTGAGATGGAAGCTTCCATAGTTGGGAGTTCTGTGCAAGCATCAATCCTGGACCGGATACTGTCCGCAAAAATATTTTCAACTGTCCAAGGTGACAAAATGTTTTATTTAAAGGGTAGTGAATCAGGAATCCCTATATTGCAATCCCCACTGTGTCTACCTCTTGGATGGACAGTCTGCCCTTCTTTAAGCATAAAAGTTTCTAGGATGAGCACCCTTGCCTGCCTCTTCAGTACTGCAGTGCCTCCTGCCACTTGGTCAGAAAGAAACAGGTGGCACTCCAGTCTCAAAATTAGAGTCAAAGCCTCTTAAACGCTGAAACATGTTTGGCTTTCATACAAGATCTTGACGCTCCCCAATTTTCAAGTTAACTTTGTTTTCTTCAGGAATTGGTCACCAGAAGGATAAGTAGGGGTTCTGCCTCATGTGGAGGGGCTAGCAACCGCCCCTCTTCAGACAGCCAGCTTTCCCTAATGAAACAGACAATGGAAAAGGTGGGACTAGAATGATCCCTTAAAGTGTGTGTGTGAACACCACCTGCTTTAAGGCATAACTGAATAGAGCTACTGTCTGATGTGCTGTTGGTCCAAAACATCATCGTTTTCTTTCCCTGTCTTTTCCAAGCCACCTAGGTCCTTGTTTGCAGGTCTGGTCACAAAGCAACCTCCAGATCTTGAAGGTCTAGTTTAGTCTACCTTCAAAGTCTCTGCATTACTACATTATAATTTTGAAAATCTTGTCTGAAACATTATCACTTGGAATGGGGAGTGGAGGGATGGATATTCTGTTTTAACATCTTTCTTCCTATTATTTTAAAACAGCACCCTGAGTCACTTTGCTTTCTGTACATGCCTTGGCTCCCTTGATCCATGTGAATATCATCTTTTCAGGTCAGGTAGCAGTCATCCCCCAAATGCCTCTGCTGCACCCATACATGCATCCACAGTGAAACTAAATCAAGTGGATCCAAATCTGTGTTCTATGAAAGAGGGACCTCCAAATTTCCCCCCTTGTTATCACCTTCCTATAACAATAATTCTAGAAGGAATGGATCCTCATCTATCTAGACTAGGGGTGGGAAATATTCAGTCCCCTAAATATTGGTGAACTAGCATCTCAGCACTTATTGCCACAGATCAGTCTCGCCGAGAATGATGGAAACTGGGATTAAACATTGTCTAGAAAGCCACAGCCATCCCAGGCATGACACAGAGGGAAGGCATATGGAAAGAGAAAGAAACCTCCTCCATTAAGCCCTTGTAGTAGTTTTTTATAGACTTTGTACCTGCTGGGGGAAGAGAATCTTTCACAGCCATCTTAACTGAGTCCGGCATCAACAGTGTTAATATAGAGGAAAAATTATAGCCTCGCCAGTCCATATGTAGAGCATCTATTTTCCATGATTTGGAAAGTATACATTGCAAGTGGCCAGCGATGAGTTTTCCACAAGCAGTGTAGAGACTCGCAAACATGGTGGCTCTTTCCACTCCTACGCCCTGTGGCTCTGAGTTGCTATTCTAACTGTTTCACTGGATTTTACTTGCACTTTATCTGGATTCCCCTTAGACCTATTTACCCCATCACTTCCCCTCCTAGTCTTCACGTGCCCTACCCTATACCATTATACAGGCCAAAATTCTGTAAGATCACAAGAATCCAGCCACTGGTCTCAGGTTTGAAATTCCAAGCAAAGGACACTCACCTGGCTACGTTACCTATAATGCATTACCTCTTTGGGTAATGAGGGGAAAGCAATGGTGCTAAGTTTGAGTTTAATTTTGGGTTGTTGTTTTTTGTGAAGCATGACACGGTACTGCAACAGTGTCATTTTTATCCACACAAAAAAGTAACACTGCTGTTTACTACTCCACTGTTGTGGCTTTGGAGTTGATAAGCAACAGCTAACATTAATATGTCACTTAAAAAAAAACAATGTTCCAAGTTCTACTGCTTTCTGATTGGCTCTCTGGGATGTCTGCAGGAACCAGTTCTCTTTGACTTTTCATCCCCAGGAAGTTACATTTGCATTAGCAAAAACTTTGAAAAACATTAAATCTATCATTCTCTTTTAAAAACATTGATACTTTTAGAAGTCGTAAACACCTGTGCTTTCCGTTTCCACCAGTTAGTATAGCAGCTGCGGAGGTAGGGGCAAACTGTGATGCTGTCATAGCAGGCCTATGGGGAAAATAGTTTTGTTAACGTTGATTTCAAACATTAAAAGGCTGCCGAGGTGCAGCTTGTTCCAATTTAATCCTAAAAAGAGAAGAAAAAACACATACAAGCCAACCCAATTGTGATGAGTTCTTCTTTTTGTTGTTGTTTTGTATTTATTTATTGATGCCCTCTTTTATATTGTGTACACAAGACAATCGGCAAACAAAGGAAATGTCAAAAATGTCTCTTTTAAAAGCAGGGATAAGGAAACACTTTTAAAAGCTGGGACAAGGTAAAGGAGAAATGCTCAGATCCTGAAGGGAAAAGGAAGCCAGGTATCTCAAAGGCAGGGCAATACAGCAGGTGACAGGGAGCACATTGCCTGGGGCCACTTCAATCGGCTACTCCAGCTTTTCTCACACGTTTCTTGAATGAACGGTTTCCTCCTGAGGCGATGCTACACAGAATGAGTTAAAACCCATTTTGGAACATGAGATGGTATGTCAGAATGCTTCATGTATACTGGTGCAGCACTGCTGTGCATATAATGATTTTTCTCTGATTCATCTGCCCTGTCCAAAAATGGACATGCAAGGCCTCAGATTGCCCACTTAAGTCCCAAGGGATCTTTGCATCTATATCGATAGACTTTTGGATTATGCCTTAAAATAATTACCGCTTGTTAAATCATTTTGTAGGTCACCAGAATAGACAGGGATTTTTTAAACAGATGCCCTGTTTCTTTCTCTGACAATGTTCCAGTTGCCCTCATGGTGACCATCCAGAAAGGTTATTGGAAGTTTCTGTTTTAGTAAGGTCCCAAATGCCTCAGCTCTTATACCCAACTAGCAAAGGTTTAGAGTGGTAAAACATCTTGTCTCTTTTACAGCTCCTGTTGGTTGCAAACCAAAACAGAACATGGGTGAGTTGGGAAGGAGGGGAGGGATTGTCAACAATTCTTGGAGTACAGACAACTATTCATCACACACTCACTGCATCTTTGTATCTGCTGTGTGGTCTTTTAGTTTCTTATCCTTTAAACATTATTTGGCAGGATGATTCACAATTGCAACCAAAGTCTCTTGGGATGAAACACTCATATCAGGGACATCAACCATCTGGGATAGCACACTAAATTTGGTGTGAAGTGCTTCCTGCCACTTGATCTATGAGACAAAGATATCCCTCCCATTACAACAAGGATGCAATGAATACTTGTAA